CGGACGAACGAACGAACGAACGAACGAACGAACGAACGAACGAACGAACGAACGAACGAACGAAGGAACGAACGAACGAACGAACGAACGAACGAACGAACGAACGAACGAACGAACGAACGAACGAACGAACGAAGCGCGCGCGCCCATGCTGTTGGGCGTGAACGCGTGGAGAGCGCGGAGATTCTCGAGAGTGCCGTACCGGTCCGATCCGACGCAGTGCGACGCAACACGATGCGATGCGATGCGATGCGATGCGATGCGATGCGATGCGACGTGACGCGACGCGGCGCGGCGCTACGCGTCCCTGCGTTTTCAGCGGAAAACGGCTTTCGGAGTGCCGCGACGGCGGCAGAGGCGGTGGTGGCGGCTGCAGCAGCGGCTCGATCACATACCATCGCGCGGCCAACCGGCCAGCCAGCCAGCCAGCCAGCAGCCACCAACGGCGGACATCGGGTGACGGGCGCCGGCCGGCCGGCCGGCCGGCTTCAACAGCTGTGCCCGCTCTCTCTCGCGCGGCTCGATACGCACGCACCTCGCGCGCGAGCTCGACAATGCCGATACACCGCCGCCCCGATGCCACGGCGGCAGCTACGTTACGCTCTCACAAACAGGTTGAGGCGATAAGCGGGTCGGGCATGACACTCTTTCGAGAGAGCCAATAAAGATCGTCCGTCCCTCCTGCTCATTCTTGTTCCCCCATCATTCTTTTTCACTCGCTCCTTCTCCCTCTGTCTCACTTACTCTGCTGTTACGAACGCGTACCATATATATAACTTCGTCGTGTCAACGCAAGCACGGAGTATACACACACACACACACACATATATATATATATATATATGTGTGTGTGTGTTTTTATATATATGTATACATACGCGCACACGAATACATAGATTCTTGGCGGTATTCGCACACTACCACCATAACACTCTACCATTAGCACCATTAGCGCGCACACCATCTTTTCTCAGAAGATATAGATATAGATAACTCACCCGCACAGGTCAGCTTCCGGTTGGTCAGTCGACTCGACGATTTCCTCGAGCAAAATCCGATCGTCACTACCAAACACTGACATATCTCGTCAGTCCGCGGCACCGAGAGTCCCCGCCGAGTGAGTTTCACGTTCCTGACAGCCGTCGTCGCGGCTGCGAAAAGACGACGACGGATCCCGCTGCCTCCTCTCGATATCTTTTTCGTTATCGCTCACACTCTTTCTTCGTACACTCTTTCTTTTCTGCTTTCCTTCTCGCCCGGTTGTCCGTTCGTTCGTTCGTTCGTTCGTCCGTTCGTCCGTCCGTCCGTTCGTTCGTACGCTCCTTCACTCGCCCAACCGCGCACTCCACTCCACAGGGCGGAGGAGGGGGACAAACAACGCGCGTTTTATCAAACACGTCTCCGCTCGCGGCACGATATACGTATATATGCGATACTCGCCACTTCCGGCTCACGCCGTGTCTCGCGATGACCCCGTTTTCCTCTTCTCAGGCAGACACCGGCGACATGCACGGAAGATTCGTCCACAGGACAGCCACACGCTCCGCGCGGCGCGCACACACAACGCCCGAACGCGTTTTGTAATGGCGATCTTTGGCGGGAAACAGCTGAGGGCCCCCACGGCGCGCCGTGGATCACTCCGCCGCCCGGCGTCAGGAACGTCACTATGTGACTCGCACACGGGTCCCCTTCACTTCTGGCGGTGCCGATACTTTTACGTCTCACTCACGAAACGCGCCACACTCACGAGAACAGATCGACCATCAATGAATCTGTACGTGCACTTTTTCGATGAATGTCACAACGAAGACGACTCACGGGAACTCCTTCAAGTCGCACTCGCGTGAAGTGCACTATGCGAGACAATCGGCCGCGTTCACGTGATTACTCGCTCGTCCTGATCGATGTTTCAGCTTAATGTAATGGAAATATTCAGTTCCTCGTGCTCGCACACGCGTTTCGCAGGTGTGTTTTCTTCTCGACCTGATTAAGACACGGGAATGCAGAGCGACTTTCCGCGTATCACGCTACGCTCATACGCCGGCAAATCATCACGCGCGCGAATACTCTCGCGCGCGTTCGACGCACATCGACGATAGCTCGCGCGCGCGGCAAGTCCGTGATGACGTATGAACCGCGTACGACGTTACGGTCGTACGGTCGACGAAATACCGGGGCGGCAGGAAGCGCGCGCAGCGGATAACGTTCGCAGAGAATCTCACCTAGTGGTGGAGAGCCACCTGGACGTATCGCGTCCTCGCCGGTCGCGCTCGTTCGTACAATCGCGGCGGCTCGCGCTCGACGGACAGGGGGGAAGTCGCGCACTTCGCTCTGCCCTGAGCGGCGACTCACTTCAGACCAATCCCTCGTCAGCTCATCCTCGCTATCCGGCTCGCGAATCCGGCTTTCTCGGTGGATCGTTGCCGTCGCGGATCGTTCGGTGGCACGCGTGAATCCGCGCGTTTACGCACGTAGGTGGCCCCCTACGGCCGGCCTATCGCGGGAAATATACGGCGCCACGGCGCGGGACTATTTGCGCGTCGCGTAGGTTTACGCTAGAGGAATGACGCGGCCCCGCGCGGGAAACATCTGCCAGCTGGCCAAAGCCCCGCCCATAGAATACGCGAGTCTACTAGACCCCCCACCACCGTCGCCGCCGCCACTATCGCCGACCCACCGCAGTCCCCCTACTATCGCGGTCGCGAGCGTAAGCACGTACACTAGTCGACCATCTGTGTATGCTACGGACGGCGGGCTCGCACACAGCGAATGTTCCCACCGCTGCGACGCAACGCGCCACACCGCACCGCGTCGTGCCGCACCCCGCCTCGCCTCGCTTCACCTCGCCCTGCTGCGCCTCGCTTCACCTCACCTCACCTCGCCTTGCCTCGTCTCTCCACGCCGCGCCGCGCCTCGTCGACCGACGCTCGCCGGACGCGTCATGTCGCGTTTACGAGGCGCCGGACGCGACGCGAAAGTAAACGGCCGAGACCACCGATCGTCACGACGCGTCTTGCATGACCAAGATGATGCTGCGCATCCCAACATGTCGGTCGCTGCCGTTCTATCTAATTATGCGAGCATGAATATCTTCCTTGCGCATCTCGTTATGGATGCTACTTATTGAAGGAACTGTAAAGAGTTCTCAGATCGATGAAATCTAATGCGCGCTTTTACAATTAATGATTATTAACCAGCACGACATCCAGCGGACAAACTTTAATTAATAAACCTTAATAATGTTCCATTGATAACGCGTGAAATTCTTCATCTAGATGATATAAATATCTGCGTTATCGGCGAAAGGTATTCGCCAATCAATATCGCACACGACTTAGTAAAGTGCGACGCATACAGCTTTAAATCAAGATAAAAATTTATCTAATTGTTTAATTCGCCGATGTTTATATGATAAAATCCTGATAGTTCTTTATCAATAATAAATTTATGATAGCAAAGTAACATAGATTTGACATGCTCATAGATCTATAGATATTCGACTTGAATACATGAAATAGACAAAGTGTAATTTCTATTAAGTAAAATAAATTTATTATAAATTTAAAAATACTGAAAAAAATCTTTATTTATTCGTTATTTTGTTATATAAATCTTTGAATATCCGTGATGTGCGTTTGACGAGTGTGTATATGTATATAAAATTAGTAACCCAATAGCGCTTTGACATATAAAAAAAACAAATTGTGAGTCGAATGACTGCGAATTAAATTGAATAGGTTGAGAGATTTGGAACTTCTTCCCGCTTATTCAGTATTTCCCTTGCCACAATTAATAGTACATACTCCGTCTATAGGTTTATGAGCATACCACTGAAGATATTTCTTCTACATTTTATCGACAGGCTCTTGCGATATATTTAATTTTCTTAATGGAAATGATGGTTCATTGCAACCATCTTGAACTATAAAGTGAGAAGATACATGGAATTCTTGCAAAATACATAAAAATAGAAATGTTTTTCGACAAAATAACGTCCTAATAAATTTTCCATATATAAGATATAATTATATATAATTAATGATGTTACGTAATTATACATAAATATATATTATATATTAATATATAACTATATATAATTATATATGGAAAATTTTGTATTTGTACTTAATTAGAACAGATTTAGAAAATATATCGAAAACTTTCCTTTTGCTCCGTTAATCAATAAATAATTATATATCTAGAATTGAATTATGGCTTTGTTCTTAATTAGATATAATTTATTTTTAGATATATCGATAATTTATATTTAGATATATATATATTTATTGAAGGAAAGTTTTCGATGTATTTTACATGATTTTGTTAAAAAACATTTCTATTTTAACGTATTTTGCAAAAATTTTTATCATGTTTTTCTTCCTTTTAACTTCTTAATTCAAGATGCCTGCAATGAAGCAGGCAGGAGCCTTAGATTTGTAGTATTTTAAAACACAAATTTTGTAAAAAGTCATCTCTTATTATATGGTATATTATTAAAGCCAAATATAAAATTTGTTTTTTTTTTTTTATTAAAAATTGCGACGTACTGAACTATACGAATTTAATACTAGGCTTACTACGATTTAAAAAAAAATCTACTGAATCTGATAAAAAAAAAAATCCCGCAATAATCGTAACGCGTTTCCTTGTCAAATATTCATTTTATTTTCTTAACCCTCTATAGCCTACATTCTTTTCATTCACATGGAATGTTACGTCCTCTCTCATAAGTTTAATGCCACAATAAGAAAAGGCGACAAGTATAAATTGAAAAACTGATATGTAAAGTCACAATATAGTCACGGCATAGAGGGGTAAGATTATAGTAACTACTATTAGATATTTTTACAGCATATTTTCATTTTCTCTAAGCGTTGATAATGATAAACATAAAACATTTCGTATTACTGAGAGAAAGGAGATCTGCCCATTTTCATTAATGCTCTACTATACTCATCCAAAAATTGCAATGTCGAAAATTAACATTCGAAATCGAAATACAACGTGAGTCTGCGCGCGATACACGAGATAGTTATCGCAGATTTAGCTACAATTTAAGCATAACATTACGGCACGAGTTCGAAAACATAGTCGGTATTGCTCCTTTGTACTTACGGTTGCATGATTCTTATTTATTCGACTAAAGCATAAATTTATTTTTTAACGTGCTTTACACGATAATCTCAAACAATCATAGAGAAAGTGTCGAATAATTTTCTTCACTAAACAAAATCCTTAATGTTACGTTTTATTTAGAAATAAAATAAATTTAATCAGCGAGCGATAAACACTTATTCAATCTCATTATACAAAGAACTGATATTTCGATAAATTAAATTTGAATCTTAATCTTAATCCCTTTAATGCCCTTACATATAATCCTTCGATGGCGTAAGTTTAATAAATTGAATAATGACGCGCAGTGTATTTCGCATATAAACATATTGTTATTTGATTCTGAAGCTCGCAAGATAGAATTTAGTCGTGAACAAGCATCAAAATCTCAATTTGATACGCGCATTTCGCATATAACGTGTCATTAAAATTTTGTGATAATTTGTGCATGAGAACGGGGGATACAATGTTGTTTGGCCATTCATATATGAGACATTCTCAATTTAAAAAAAAAAAATATATATATATATATATATATATATATATATATATAATGTATAACATCGTAATGAAAAAATGTAATTTAATTTTTTTTCTGCAATATTATAATAGATTGTAAAGATGCTGTTTATTTTAAAAAGAGCAATCCATTCTAGAATACAGTTTTTAAATGAGATTTGCGATTTATCTTTTATGCATATGTGTTTTATATTGCCAATTTAACTGTTTAATTTATTGTCAAAATTAACGTGCATGTTGATAAATGATAAAATATGTAAGAAATTATCATTCAATTATTTACAATTAACAAGAAATATATAGTATTCTAATCATCTCTTGATAATCATTAGTGGCAAATTCTTGAGGATATTTTGAGATAAAAACCTTAATACCAAAATGACAAGATTACAATTTTTGGTTATAGGCCCATCATCTTTGATTATTTTAATCGGTCGATTAAATTTAACTATTATATACTAACTGCAAAACTTGTTGATTGTTTTATTTTGTTTTTCCTGTCCATTTTCTGCAAATTATGATTTGTTTGTGTAAAATATAATACTTTTAAATAATAATTAATATATTTGATTAAAATAATTTTTAAAAAATAAAATTTTAAGAATGATTAATTTCAAATTTTGCAATTAGTAACTTTTAAATTTAATTGACCAAGTTAATCGAAGGTGGAGATTGGTTATAAGTGTGAAATGTTTAAAATTGAACAATTCAACTGTCCGAAATTAGCATGTTTAGGCATGGTAATTTAACAAATGTCGAAGATATCATAAGAAATGTAAATGAATAAAAATTTTCACATTTTCAGTACAATATAATGTATGTTTGAACGCGCAAATTTAATTCGTACTCTTTAAATATGTCTAATTTAAAAACTTTTTCTCAGCATTTTAGTATTAAGAGATCTGTGATATCTTGTACAAAAAAAAAGAAAAAAAAATATATATACACAATTGATATTAGTACTTAAAACATATTAGTCTTTTCTCTTTGTTGTTATATGTATTAAAAATATCTAATATTTTTTATATTTTTATATGAAATATTTAATACTAAATATTTCAAAAACTAAAGTATTTAAATAATGATATTAATCATTATTTACGTATATCTTATCTTTATTTTTCTGTTATGACTGCACTAAAAAAATTGCTATTATAACAATAATATTTTTAATACACATTGTAAGTTTATCTGAACGTAGGCATTAAAAATTAAATCACAACTGCCTTCTAGAATAAGAAAAGTCTTTTAACTTTAACAAAATCAGCATCTAAATTTTTTACATTTGTTTTAAATGAGATAATGAATCTACATATTAACATTTTTTTCAGTAAATACATAAGTAAAATACCTAACGAATAATATACATATGCAATAACGTATGCATATTGAAATGGAGATAATTTTAATTATCGTTATTTCGCACATCTTACCTGTAAATCCATGTCTAATTTGCATGTTTATGAAACTTATTTATAGTGCTAACTACATACTAATTTTGTTATAATAATTTTTTCAATCCTAGTTTCAACCTTTCCTGAGCTGGATTCACTTTGATTTTTAATTGCTGAATTAAATCAAATATTTTTAAAGAAGGTCCAACTTTGAAACCTGTTAGGTCTATTATTTGGTCCTTAGTAAGAGTCAGCAATGTCTTTCCATCTATTTTACGTTTACTGAAATTATCGCAATATGTTGCACAATCATTAACTCGGAGAAATTGTGCAACGTCAAAGACATTCCACTCAGATGGCACTAGATCACCAGATTCCGATCCTCTTTGCACACCATCTGCTAGCCTTGGTATATATTTAGTACTTGCTGAAGTAACCTATGAATTAAATAAATAAAAATTTAGTAAAAATAAATAAAAATTTAGTCTATAATAAATCATATATAAAAGTATTTCAGATTATATATGCGCAAATGTGATACTTGCATTGATATACGATGTAGCGGCTCTTTCCTTGGGTGGTGGAGGATTCTGTACTTCGCTTTGCGTATCGTTCAATGCTTGATCTTGTCCAGTAGTAGGACTAGGTAAAGTTTGGTCAGGTCCAGCTGGCTCTTCCGCTGTTTCCGGTTCTCTGCTCCTTTGTTCCGGTAGACTTTCTAGATCACGCTCTCTTTCAATTTTTGTTCCTTGAGCAGGTTCCAATTCTCGCCCGCGTTCACGAGCCATACTAATACGTTCGCTCTGACGAGGTAGTATATTTTTGGAGCAAGATATCTTGCTACCTTTCTTCAATTTTCTCTTAGCTTTACGTTTAAGGCCTCTTGGTGATTTTACTGCGGGAGTAGGGATTTAAATGTAAAAATAAACATATATAAATAATATATGCATAAACGTGTGGGCACAAATATATAAATATATAAATGATACATACTAGTAGGACTAGTGTTTTTAATGTGTACACGCGGCCCTTCCAATTTGTGATCAACGAGATCACACCATCCAACGGGATAAATATCTGGACTTTGACAATCTAACCATTGATCATATTCGTCTTCCCAGCCATCAAAATGTACTCGTAATAATCTGCCAATCACTCTAGTAATAGTAGCGACACAAACTAATCTAGGATCCATCAAATCAGCTGCTTCAAGTCTCATTCCTTCGATAAATCCATGTTGAAGAATTTCCTAAATGTGAAAGATATAAATGTAAAAAAGTTAAACTCGAAACTGTAAAATATTTATTAACTGCATAATAATACACGAAAAGACCGTTGAGCTTTCAATATTGTTATGAAAAGAATATTTATCGCTATTAAAAATAGCTATCATAAATTGTATCCATAAATATATAGAAAAATTACCCGATTAAATAATTGCACAGGAGCAGGTATGGTATTGGTCTCCATCAGGTATGCGTCCCAAGTAAATGTAGTAGGATCGTAACCCTTCGGTGGCGTTAAAGGCAAACCGTGTTGAGAACAAAAACCGACGGGAAAAATACATGGTGAACACGAATGATAGCAAAACCAATCAGCCCCGCTTGCGTCTTCGTCGTAACTGTCAATACGAATCATAATGTAATCTTTTTCCAAAACTTGCATAACTGTCGCTGCACATATAGCCGAAAGATTAAGCGGATCGATAGCTTCTATTTTCATTCCTTCCTTAAATGTGTACGCGAGGTGCATATGATGACTCTTTGGCACATGAAAAAGATCCTCTGTTGCGTCATCTTCAGATAATTTTGATTTAGAAATACGTTCCAAGTATTCGGGATACGCATCTAACGTTTGTCCTATTTTTTTAGCCCAACCGACAGGGTGTATAAGGGGTGAGTCTTCGTGACACCAAAACCCGTTATCCTCCGGCGGTGAATCGTAATATCTCACATGCAAACGTTTGCCAACAATCTTCTGTATCGTCGCTACTTTTACTTGTGAGATTCTATTTTTATCTACTACTTCTAAATGAAGACCACATCGAAAACGAGATTTCATGCTTTCATTTACTTTATTATAAAAATTTGTTGGCAACGTTCTTGCACCGGTTAATCGTCTCATCAAAAAATCTTTCCAATCTTTGTACTTATTTGCAATTGCTGAAAAAATAATTTAATATGTCAAATTTTATGCGCTCTTCTAAAATTAACGAGTGTTCTCTTTAATAGATTTTTTTTTCATTTTACTAGAAATGTACGATTACGTACTGTTAGGTGGAATAAGAGGTTTTCCAATTGTTGCACACCAACCAACAGGATGTATATCGTTAGAACAAAGCGATACCCAAAAATCTTTTTCTGCATTCTGTCCGAAACCCTCGTACCTTAACAGAGCTCTGTATCCACAAACACGTAACACAGTTGCGACCCAAAACGAATCGGGAAAAGCCTCGCACACTTCGTCACAATCGGTATTTTCGACTTCTACTTTCATACCCACTGTGATATTATCCCAAATCTCTGATATAGGAGCCTAAAAATATTAATATAATGTAACAAGATATTTGTAACAAGATATTTATAAAAGTGTACATTTAACAGACAAAACAAAGCTTATCAGAAAAACTAACATGTTTGAAACAAGAGACTGGCGCAGCACAAAACCCAGGTTCTATAAGTTGTTGTGTCCAGTCGTAAGAACCTGCCATTTCTGCCGTTCTTTTTCTTCTAACCGGTAAATCCTCCGGCATTACTGGTTCTAAGTTAATTTTGTCTTTTTCTGATTCAACAGATTCTTTGACAACTATCTCTTCCTTCACAACGACCTAAGAAATTATAACGTTTATGGAATAAGCATTTCTAACTTTTTGTCATATATTGTGTGTCTATATATTAAATATTAACTTACATCCGGTTTTGTTTCAATAGAAGATGCTTGATTTACAGATACCAGTTGATCCCCCGAGTGAGACGGACTATATGTTGAATCAGCAGTAGGTGTTGTGTGTTCTGAAGAACGTGCACATGCTCTACTGCAAAATCTACGTTCCTTTGTATAAAAGGCATGTTTTACTCCAATAGCACCACATTTTTCACAGACAGCTATAAAATGAAAATTTGATTTATTTTATTTAGCAAACTTTTCTGTAATAAGAAAATATAAAATCAATTCAATTTGTCAATCTTGTTCAAATCTCTTTTATCTTTTTCAATATTTATAGCTTCAATTGCATTTTTATTTTTCAAAAAAACTATTTAATAATTTTGTATTTTAATAATTTTTAACTCGGATTATTACTATTTTTCTTTTGAATATTGATATTAATAATTGATATCAGTTTAACTTATCACATTAAAATTAACGTTCCTTGTATTTGTAATATTATAATTACCACAGTCTCATCATTTTATTCATTAGTTAGATTACGCTGAATGATGATATGCTTACCTATACCATCCTTGCGAATAGGAATAAAATTTAGATCAGTATGAGGTTGATAAGCAATTGGCGTTTTTAAAACAAGACCTGGATGCTTTATTGGTTTTATTTTTCGATTACGATTGTCTTGAATAGTTTGAGTCGCTGCATTATTCACAATTTGTTCTCGTTCTTCATCACCAATGTAGTCTTCTAATGTTAGGTATTCATTCATCTCCTGTCTTTCAGACTGTGAATCATATTCCTTAAAAAAATAGGAAAATCACAATATTAGCAGTACACATATGAAAATTTCTTCGATCTCTTTTAAAAACAAAACTCACTCGCTGAATATCATGAGCATCTACAGCCTCCATTGCCTCATCAGGTTCCGAACACTCATTTGAGAATTGCTGCGGTATGTAGCGCACCATAGTAGTAGGAGCGATGTGATGATTTCTGAGATCTTCATAGGGATGCGAACCATGTGAAAAAAATGGGTTTTCACCTTGACGAGCATCCAGCATGAATTCATGAGGCTCTCCCATCATCACATCACTCATCCATACCATCCCTAGTTGTTCGGGCAATCCAGGGATGGAAGTATACACTGTATTCATACACATATCCATTCCTACATTCACACGATTCACCAATTGTTAGCCGAATTATTAATAAAAAAAAATATTCATTCATAAATTCTGTTTGTAAGGAGGAATGTATAATACTATTTTCCAGTCAAGAATAAAAACCAAATACCAAAGCAAGTTTTTTTCAAATTTAGAATTTGAGAAGAAAATTTAGAATTTAAGAGAGATACAATCGGAATAATAATTCTTTTAGAAAGTATATCGGAATAATACTTCTTTGAGATAGTAACGAGTAAGATAGTATTAAATGTATTTTAAATCGGTTTAAATGTATTTTGAATAAACGGATTCTATTAAGTCGAATTTTAATCTGCAATTCTCAGATCGTGGAACATGCGATTCTGCTTAATATACGCCTACCGCATGATGCATAATAGTGAGAAATCTACCAAGTTACGAACTGCTTGCGCCGATCGCACTTTCTTGCCTAAATTTTTAAACAGCGTTTAAGATTGAGAAGCGACGCTAGAAATACTTTTATTTAACCCCTTCTACCATACAGTCGCGTGTCTATCACGCGTTTAGCGGCGTCCGATGAACGTTCGACGTACAGATAAATGCGAGGACCGAACGAGGTACATCTCGTCATCACCGTCATCGTCGAGAGGAAAACAATCGGCCGGCCGCAGATGAAAATCGTACCCCATAGAAAAACAAGTACGTACCATTAGAAGCTTGCATGTCCATGACAAAGAGTCGTTCGTAGATTTCCTCGATGTTTTTTCACCGGTATTACCGTAGTCTACGTTCGTCACGAAGCACTAATCCCATCTCGAAAGGCATGAAGTACATCGCTTGGACTTCGTCTCGCCCGTAATCGGAGTTAGTCGAAATCCATCACCTTTCGCGACATTGTCGAACAATAGGGCAAAACATTCGGCGGTAGGCCGTTTCGCTTCGGCCCCTCTCTTCCCCCGCCACTATTTTCGTCTCCCTTAGCAGGGCTAGCAATCACTAGTGGAGCCAGCAGAAACGGGCCGCAATGATGGATTCGTACACCACTGTCTCTATGTCGATTCATATTTAATTAATTTTAATCTCCATAAATTTATTCTTTATCTTTCTTCGGTGACTGGAATTGAAAAAAATAGAAAGTAAGATTAAAGTTAATTCATGTTGATAGAAATGGACTTGAGGTGAATGTCGAGAAACGACGGTTTGTCCACATGTTCCAATAGCAGAATGTGTTTTCTAGGTAATTTTCTGGATTCTAAATAACGATGTTTCCTTCCTCAGAACAACTTCGATTAAAATATTCCGATTAATGCCCTTTTTTACTAATGTAGATTAACTTTAATCTCTGCTTAATTTAATTTTTATCTCTTTTGTTTTATTTTTAAGAATTATAGAAAAAATAAAAAATAAAATAAACCGAGATTCAAAAATTGATTTAAATATTGATACAGATATAATTTAATCAGTGATTAGCTTAAGTCAATTATCAAGGATTATTACGGACTATTTTGTTAATGTCGATATAATTATTTATATTTTATTGCTCGATATGTGAAAAAAACGTTAGAGGAAATGAATTGTACGTGCGTTTTATTTGAATTCTTTTTGAGTGCAGAAAGGTGTAGATGGTTAAGTGTACTTCTGTAGTTTTTCAATACGCAATGAAAATCTAGAAATAGCATGAATTTCTGCACTTAAAAAGGACTCGATAATAGTTTATTGCGTTGCTTGTACTCCCTAAAATTTTCGATACTTAAAGCAAGATAGATATTTGGAGGCGATGGAGGAAGAAAGAACAAGAAACTTAAATTTAAAAAATATAAATAACACGAAGATTTAATGAAACGCAGTGTATATTTTGTAAATTTTGTTTTAAATAATTCTATAAAGATCAAATTAATTTCTAGAGCTTTTTATTGCCATATTTTAATCGATAATAAATGTTAATTTTAATAAAAAACGATCCTAATTTGAATAAAAAATTTAAAAAATTAAGAAATTAAAGAAAAAAAAAGAAATTATATTGTCAGAATCGTTTGAAGATTATTATATTAAAATATAAAATGTGCAAGAAAATCAAATTTATAAAAGAATAAATATATATATTTTTAAAATATAAAAAGATAAAAAATACATATATAAAAGATATATCTTTTTATATTTTATATATCATATTTGGACAAGTTAAATTAAAATTCATAGAAATGTAGCTTTAGACTTTTTTAACTATTATGAGAAACGAATGTCTAGATATGCTTTATGATGAAATGTTTGAACCGGAAACATTGAGCTGCGCGCCGTTGTGCGCCGTGTACGAAAGAGATGTCACAAGGTGAAGACATCATTCTACCTACGGGAAAATATTTAACAATTTAATATTTAACAATTTGTGAGCTTGAGTCATTTGCTGTTCTTCAAATTGAATGATTTGTACAGTTCGACAGTATGGTAATTGCAAATATTTTGAAATTGTAATTGACATTTGAAATGAATGGCTAACCTATATGTATAACCTGTACATGAAGTTTAACAATTTTATCAACGATATTTTAAAAGATATTTAAATTATGAAATATATTATTATTGTTTGAAAAGTTTATCTAAAGTGTTAAGTGAAAGATATAACAATCAAAATTCCGTTGCTATTAATTTATTGAATAAATAGTTATATTATTGCATGATGTACATTTGAGTAATTATAAATTATATCCTTCGTCTTACAAATAAGTGATGCAAATTGTTTTGATTATATTAACGTATTCTTTCTTGGCAGTCTGCCATATTTAATTTTCAGAGTTTGTTGAGTGTAATATTCTTGATCATATGCACCTGTACTTACATCAGATCGTTGGCTCCGAACTTGTTTGACAAGCGACTAGGCAAGGTTGGGTATGTAAATATTTTAGTTAACATATTTATTATAAAAATATATACTCGTATGTATATACGTATGTACATACTCAGTGTATATTTAATAAATTCTTAATTTTAGCTTTCAGGGTACTTTTTGGAAATGTGCTAGGATTGGAGAGAGAGTAAGCCCATATGTGGCCGTTTGTTGCGTCTGTTGTGCGTTTTGTGTTTTATTTTGGTCGTAACATTCCTACATGAGTCATTTTGATCATGATGCATTTGGTGTGTATTTCTAGAATATATCGTAATATATTTGTATATTAAGATTCGAGATGTCAGAGAATAAAAGATTTTAATATCCATTTGGCGACAAACAGCTATATTTGTCGTTTTAATAATACATAAAAATACACTCGTTTAAGCTAGACTTAAAGTCAAAACGAACGTCATTGCTAAATGCATGATAGTTTTTTTTTTCTTATTTGTCAACACGTTATTTTTTTCCCCCAAAGCTATATAATCCAATTTGAGCACATTTTCTCTCATTGCATCTCCATAATATATTTTTTCCCGTCCTATAAACAACAACATTCTTTTAATATAGTTATTGTAAAGTTATTATATTGAGCATTCTCTGATATACAGGGTTCGTTAGATAGATACATTTAACATATTTTTGCTCTGGGATATGCTACCTCCTCTTTTGTCATTACAATAAACCCGATGTAACTAAAACTTGTACTCCATATGATGGACATTAAGTTTAACATCATTGAATCGCTTTATCTTGTAAACCTTCAACCAACCTTAATGCTCTCCGGATATCGCTTACACATTACTCATATTAACATTACTCATATCGCTTTACACAGTTATCTTAATTACAGAACAAGATATGGTTCGTAGTTTTGCGAGGAACATTAACTAAATGATCTTGTTACTTTGCTAGAAATTATTATAAGATTATTTGCTGTTAATTTCTCGTAACTTTATACATAATAACATACATATATTGCTACTCCATCATATACACATGTCATCATCGAAATGCACGTATGCAATTTTCGAGATAATAGCTGAGCATATTTTATTATTACAAAAAGCCGAATTGATTTAACGCGTTTTATTTAAAAAGCGATATATCGGTCATTCCTCACTGTTTTAACCACTTACGCTATACCTAACGTGGTCTCGCTTTATTACCGACATGTATAAGGTACGGTTTGTCTACAGGTAATTTAAAAAAATACATAAAATAACCGAAGTGACCTATGATATTTCCTAAAGTTTTCGGTATGCTATTATATGTGTTACGGATATGGATCTTATTTCAGATATGACGTGATAACGCTCGCTAAGATGCCAAGTATAATATCGATTCGCTTTCTTACATCACAATAAACAAAGATATTATCGTCTTATATCTTACATACAAATTAGTATGCTAATTATTTGTCTGCATTTGGGTACGATCGCACAATTGCTCGGAAAGATCAATGTGATTCATCGATGAAGACGTATTACAATGGCAACGTAACGGATGTTCATTTTAATTGAGTCGTCACTGTTGTTACGAGATATATATATATGCGCACATCAAGATTGTAATTCGCATATAAGCGATTAAACTTTGCGGGCTACCCGTTCGTCAACAACAGTGACCGCTCAGTTCGGATAGACACCCTGCATATATAAGGCTTTTGACGCTAACGTTATAAAATTACCTCAAGTTATCTATTAACCCCACAAAAGGAAATGATCACTTCGTTTCTCAAGTAACAAAAGTCCCTTTCTTACATCTTTAACTCTCAGACAGCAATATATTCTTTTTGGCTCTTATTTTTATTTACTCTCTCACTCGTCAGTTGCTTCGATCCCTTGTTGATTTTTGACTTACTATTTATTCATCTAATTTTATTTCTTTTTGTTTCG